CGGCTCGCTGCTCGCTCCCTTTAAAAGTTGCTGCGAGAGGAGCAAGGGCTCTGGACACAGGAAAACTCACGAAGTCAGAGACGTTTGCCAGCGTGGCCAGAAAAGCAGTAAATAAAAGATCCGATGCTCCGTGCATCAGCCCAGGGACTGCTGCTTCCCCACGGCTGAAAGAAGGGCGATAACCAGACGAGGCCAGCGCGGAGCGGGTGTCCCCATTTCAAACAGTGTCTGGACTAAAGAAGCTAACTTTGTCTTCTGAATGCCGGACTTGCCTTTTAATAAATTCAAGCGATCACTCACAAACCATTAAAGCGACCTGAAAGGCGAGTCTTTCGCGGGGGAAGTGGAATCGACTGATTATTGTTTTGCATTCAACTTTCTGCGTGCAAACGGCACAAGCGCGGCCGGGGGTTGCCACCCCAGAGGGACCAGCACAGACAGCCCTCCACACACGCACCCGAACAGCCTCCTGCCCTCTCCCCAGCCGGCACCGCCGTCCCGCTTTGGGTATGTTCAAACACTCCCCCGCGGCGGCGGAGCCTCCGCGGGTGCGGGAGACAGACGGCGGCCGGCAGATATCGGACCTCGGCATTTCTCTGCCCCGGACCAGGCAGCGCGGAGCAGCGCGGGGCTGTCCGCACGGCCTGCCGTGGGCTCCGAAATCTACTTTTCCCACGAAGGAAAAGTACAGCGACAGCATCTCCAGAGCCAGACATCAGAAAGAAAATTATGGCCCCCGTTGAGGCTGGAGAGCTGGGCTCAGTGTTTCTCCTCGCAAACCTTCGTGACTAAATCCGCAAAGGGAGCCTTGCTAGAGGAAAGTTGACTTTAGAGACTAAAACAGCGCAGAAACCACCGAGAGAAACCTCACAACCTCTCTGCCTCAAAAAACACCCCTCGCTCTGACGGGGATTTCAAAGCACTGCTCCCCTCTCCAGAGCCAAGCGAGCAGCACAAGCATCAGCATGGCGTGGACTTGAATTCAGCGTTAACAATTCCAGCCCCAGTGATCGTCGCTAATTCAGAACATACACGGGATGGAGATTAACCAACATCGCACGGTTCCCCCTCATCCCAGATAAAAAAACCTACAACAGCAACAACAACACTAGAATCATCCTTTCTGTTGTAGGACGCTCAAACAAACGTCAGACTGAAAGTTTAAAAGAATACTCATTAGCCAAGTGTTCCAATCCACACAAATAACAGATCTGTGTTAAGCGACCACTAGGGACTGTACACAAGTTCAAAGAAACTTGCAATACACATCTTTAAAATATCTCACCCTCACCACGTTTCTCCGGGTTTACTTTACAGATGGGTGACTCAGACGAGCTCAATGATTCTTTTTTTCTCAGATACGCTCAAGTTACATTTTTTATAACCGATGTCCGGTAAAGTTGCCGAGAGAGTTACCCTGAAAGATTCGCAAAAAGCAACATTTTCGGCGCACGAAATACTTTTTTCCCCGGCTCTTTTGCCCGGTGGGCTACATTTCTTCAATCCCTAACACTTTCTGCCCCGGTCCCGGCGGGCTCCAACTTTTCCTATCTCGCCAAACCCTGCAAGGTGGCGCTCTTTTCACTGAAAACTGATATTAGCCTTATAATAATAACATTTTGTAAAAAGTAAAGTTAAAGCGAAGCCTTCCCACGGGTGCTGCAGGGAGCAGGCAGCGATGCCGAACTGGGAGGAGTGGGGCTTAGGATGAGCAAGACAAACGCTGGCTCTTTTTTTTTTTTTTTTTTTTTTTTTTTTTTTTTTAGGGGTGGGGGGGGGTGAGGCTTGTGCTTTCGGGCAGTGGAAAGTCTCAGAGGGAGACCCCCAAATGTTACGGACAAAGAGAAATTCTGGCGGAGAGGCAGCGGGCTGTGCTGTGGGCGGGTTACCGCCGGGGCTGCCGAGTGCCCGCACGAAAATGAGGGGAGAGCGGCTTCCCCCGCACCCCCGCCCCCCGAGCGGTTAATATGGCTATTGACTCGCTGTACACATAATATTTCTTTAAAGAAGCTGTTAAAGTGTCATCTTGGTCTACTGGAAGGTCAGTTTGTGCAATTCACTCTATGACATATCACAAGCCCTCGCAGCTTTAGCCAACCTCATGATTTGTGTTGTCTGTTGATATGTTGTCTGCTTAATGGGGCGATCATGCAAGCTACAACCAGGAACAAAGCCCAACAGTTCCAACAACCGTAGCTAAGTTAGTGGAAGCAGTACAGCTTGCAAATCTATCAAACTAAACTGCAAGGAAGACAATCTGATTTAGAGAAAAGGCGTTCTGCTACAGTCATTAAGCACAAGTAATTTAGATTTTTTATATTGTCTTCTCATTTACAAATTTACTGTATCAACTCCAGCCAATGGAACGAATTTCTTAAGTAAATGAGAAATAAATAAAAGAGATAGAAAGATAATCAAATTACATAAAATAATTCTTATGCCCTAGATTTATTTTTTTAGAAAGCTATTAACACTAGCAAAATTATAGTAATAATAATAACATAACATAAGAAGTAATTGATTTAAATTAACATCACGTCTTAAGGAATATCAGCAAAGAAAAAAAAAAAAGAAGAAAAAACAAATAAAAAATACACACAACAACAACAACGGCCTTCGTGAAACAGTGCTGTACTTCTTGGAGTGAAAGGCCCAAGGAAAGTCATGAATCCACTGCCTAAGAATTAGTTATGGTCATAAATGCCTTAAATTAAAATAGCAACCGAAATCTCCTCTGTTTTAAATCTCCTAATATATGTTATCCGAATTAATTTAATTTAGGGACCCAGTCTATGCAGATTCATGGACAGTGTTGGAGTGGAATGCAGCACTTCTCGTGTAACAATTCCCCACATTAATATTTATGTAGCATATGCAATCTATTTCTGTTATTTTTATGGTTGTTATTCTATGTCTGCAAAGGTCATTTAAATTATACTGCGGCCGAAAATTTGTTTCATAAATTTTGATATAAATACTAATTACACACTATAGTAATGCCAGCAGGGATCCTTTCATTTATCACATTTATATCACCTTCGCTGCTTTAGTGATGACATAATGGAAAGCAGTGAAAAACTGGGACAGTTTTATTCTAATATCCTAAAGCTAGTAGGAGTTGCAGCAGGTTGACTTAGTGAATAAGGATTCCTACCACAATTCTTGGGATTTAAGAATCTTTAATAAGGTACGAAATGTTACCAAACAGTTCTGTAAACTAAATTTTACATACCAATTCTTCTAGCCATAAATATTGAATATCTTGTAACAGGTATAACCGGACCTTTACATGCGGATAAATATGGAAATTAGGATTTATATACATTATGTTCTTGTATTTGCCAAAAGCAACGGACAGATATAGTTTATATCTTTTTTTTTTTTTTTTTTAATATCACTTTACATAAACAAATGTAACAGTTTGACACGCAGATCCAGGCTTTCACTATACGAATTTCTTGACAGGACGTGTAACAACATTTTACTGCACTACTTAGACTGGACTTTGGGACGAAATGTTGCACTTTATACAAAAAAGCACATTAATACCAATAATATTCTGTTAGATCGACGTTTAGACTGTAATAATACAAAGTAATTCACATTTTGATACACATTTACTAGAACATTCTTGCCATTCAGTACAAATAGTTGAATTTCTACCTCTTCCCTCTGCCCCCCCACCTCC